AACAAGAGATATGATTGCTGATGTCAGATGGATCTTGGCTAAAAGCAGAAAATACTAGAAAGAGGTTTCTTTGTGTTTTTATTGACTATGAAAAGGCATTCAACTGTATGCATCATGACAAACTATGGAGAGTTTTGAGAAGAATGGGAATTGCAAAACACTTCATCAGGCTCATGAGGAACCTGAATATGGATCAAGAGTCCATTGTGTGAACAGAGCAAGAGAATACTACATGGTCTGACAACCGAAAAGATGTGCATCAGGGTTGTGTCACCTCACTATACTTATTCAATCTGTACACTCAGCAGATAATCAGAGAAGCCCGATTATCTGAAGAATGTGGCATCTGGGTTAATCTTTGATATGCGAACAACACAATTGTGTTTGCTGAAAGTGAGGAAGGCTTGAATTACTTGCTGATGAAGAGTGAAGATTGCAGCCTTGTATAGATGACAACTCAGTGTAAAGAAAACCAAACTCCTCATAATTGGATCAATAGATAACACCATGATAAACAGAGAAAAGACTGAAGTTGTCAAGGATTTCATCTTAATTGGATCCACAATCAATGCTCATGGAAGCAGCAGTAAAAAGATCGAGCAATCGCATTGGGCGAATCTGCCGTTCCAGACCCCTTTAAAAGTGTGGACTCCCCTCTGACCATAGTCCAGGGATGGGAATAGCCTTGTTATCAGATAGAGACCATTGTAAAGTAATTCAAAGCAGGTGTAATTAGGTTAAAATGTAACACTTTATCATTTGGTTTCTCTTTTGATTCATTTTAAAGTTTTCAGTTTTTAATGTTTTCTGCTTTCTTTTCTAATGAGGTTTTCCTCTGCTTGGCCATTGTTGTTGGTTTTTGTTTGCTTCCTGTTGGCTTTGTATGATTTTCTGTATAGGAAACTGAGGAAAGGTAAATCTATACAGACTGTTACTGGAGTAATAATCACTGAAGGGCATGGCAGGGTGTGGTAGTTGTGTAATCAACTGTCAATTTGAGAGGATTAAGAGTGAAGGGATGCAATCAGACTTGACTGGAAAGCACACATGAAAGAAAACAAACAGACCCTGAACTATTCATACGGTTATATATGTATGCATATGTGTGTATTGTTGTTGTAGACATTGTTTTACTTTCTGTTGTTGCCTCGTTGCACTCAGTCTGGTGATGGTACATAGCATGTCTACCTGGAAGGGATAGGTGGAATAAACAAGCCAGAAGAGAGAACAATGGGATGACAGATCAGGGGAGCCTGGGGATAGGGGAGGGGGAAGGAAGGAAGAGGGTTTTAACAAGCACAGGCACAAGGGAACAACAAGTGATCCAAAATCAATGTCAAGGAGGGTGCGGGAGGCCTTGCAGGGCTGGATCAAGGGCAATGTAACCGAGAGGAATGCCTAAAACCCAAATGAAGGCAGAACACGATAGTGGGACAAGAGGAAAGTACAAAGAAACAGAGGAAAGAACTAGGAGGCAAAGGGTACTCATAGAGATGTAAATACAGGCATATAAAGATGTAAATA